GGGTGATATTTGTGTCCAGCTCATTGTGGACAGGAGGAGATTTCCAAGAGATGCAAGATGTCCTCTGTACCCCACCTGAATGACCCATCCAGAGACCACAGCTTCCTGGCTTCCTCTCCAGCTCTCCAGCTATGAGGTCCTGCTACCTCTGAAAAAAGAGTTCATAAACTACTAGAGCATCCAAAAAATAATTATATAAATAAATAAAATGCTAATGCATCCTCTATCCCATGTCTACAGTCTCTACAGCTCTTTCCTGCCAAACTTTACTCCATAAAATGTATCACTTCCTAAAATGCTATACAAATTGCTCCTTTTGCTTATTATATGTCTCTCCTCAACTACCTTCCCCCCATCCCCTTCCTCGACAGGCACACACACTAGAGGGTAGCCCCTGGGGGAGCGGATGGGGAATAATTCTTTTCTGTTTTTGTTTTTTTTTTAATGGAGGTACTGGAGATTGAACCCAGGATCTCCTGCTCATTAAGCATGTGCTCTACCACTGAGCAACACCCCCGTACCCTTTCTGTTTTAGTCATGGATGTGTTTACTGGAAGCAAATGCCAGAGGAAGAGCGTCCCTGGCTTGTTCAACAAACAGTAAAGAGGCCACTGTAGCTGGAACAGATGAACTCAGATAGGAAAGCAGGGCAGCAGGCAAACTGGGCTGGGTTGTGTCGTCTCCCCTCCCTCCATAGGATTTTGGCTTTGGCTGTGAGTGCTGTGCGATTCCTTGGAAGAATTTTAGTAAATGAACTGTAACAAGTCAAGGGCTAAGACTGGGAGACCAGTCAAGAGAGCAGTATAATAAACTGGGGTAGCTTAGCTCCTTATAAGATGTTTAGTGGCATTCTGTGTTCATGCATTTTTAATTAGCACAAATTATTGTACCATTTGTCCCCTTCTCTTTTTTACTTTTCTTTTTTTCACTCAGCAGTACATTTCATGATGTAATCATGCTGATGGGTGAACAGCTAGTCAATTGTTTCTAATTGCTAAGTATTATTTCACTGTCTGTACCTTTTTTCATAAGGTGAACTAGAAACAAGGTTAAGATTAGGATGTTTGTTGTTAGGGAAACCACATTAGAAGAATAAAGGTAAGAAACAATTTGCTAAAGAGAATGGGATCGTGTGAGCAAAACAGAAAAGCAATGGGTTCGTTTAAACAA